CAATCACGCCGGCAACGCGGACGACATTCATATTTCTGCTGGAAGCGACAGTAGGGTGGAAATTTCCATCCCTCCACCCCTCGCCACAGCAGAGACCGACGGCCCGGTGGATGACGACCTTGAACCTTGGCCGGGATGGATCCAGCGTGCGACGCGGCAAGTTGAGCATAGTATTTCGCAGCTTGGGACTGATGACTGGACCACCACAATCAAGAAACGCAAATTGGCGTGGGCACGAGAAGTTGCTACAAGCAGTGCGAAGAACTGGGTACGGCGAGTGTTACAGCTGGAGCCACAACATGACGTACACGAAGATACCCAACGCCGTGTTGGGTGGCAAAAGACCAGATGGTGGAATATCCTACATTAGACAGTGTGTCGAGGACGCTCCGCAAAATGTTGCAGGGTTACCACGACTCGCAGGGACGGACACGTGGGACAATTCAGAGTTTGGGTATACATAACAGTGAGTGGCCAAGGTTGCGCAGCTAATTGTCTATTGTTGCCGCCGTCTGCCTCTTCCTCCCCCTTCTTGTCCCCCTAAAATGTATCGAGTCTGTCTGTCGTCGCATTGTTTAATACCAAAGGCGCCCCGGCGCCACCCTGTAGTGCCTCTGCGGCACCTATACTGCAGGCCGCTTGTCCGGTTGTCCGCTTGTGTGCACACACGTGTACATATGTACTTCTGCACGCCGCCTGCGTGCGAATTTCCAAGGATCAAGCTGCATTGCGCGAAGCGCCACGCGAGTCTTGCATATACGTATAACGGGGGACCGGGACCACGACCACAAATGTGGTGCCAGGGCGTCGTTTTCTTTGTATTTACCTAACAGCGAAGACTGATAGGTTTCTAGTGGTGTCAAAAGAGAGCATCTGATGGCTCAGAAAGGAAGTCTGGGCGGCATCCGGACAGCGAGGGCGGGGCTCAGGGCCAGGCTCGTTTTAAACAAACAGTCGCACACTTCGTGCTCTTCGACCTCCCAGAACTCCATTCCCGGGCCACATTTTGGATGCCCGGAGCCAACTGTAGGCCACTTCGTGCTCTTCGACCTCCCAGAACTCCGTTCCCGGGCCACATTTTGGATGCCCGGAGCCAACTGTAGGCCACTTCGTGCTCTTCGACTTCCCAGAACTCCGTTCCCGGGCCGCATTTTGAATGCCCGGAGCCAACTGTAGGCCACTTCGTGCTCTTCGACTTCCCAGAACTCCGTTCCCGGGCCGCATTTTGATTGCCCGGAGCCAACTGTAGGCCATTTCGTGCTCTTCGACTTCCCAGAACTTCACTCCCGGGCCACATTTTGAATGCCCGGAGCCAACTGTACGCCACTTCGTGCTCTTCCACTTCTGAGACTTCCAAGACTCATCATCTTCATCATCATCATCATCATCGTCCCCGTAGCCTTCTTGGCTACAGCCCTGCTTTCGAAGATTTCCTTTCAAAGGAACTGCGCAGCGCCTACTGCACACCTTAATGCCAAGACGTGCTGATAGTTCTCGGTCTGGCGGCGGTGCTCCTGACCCTGCTGCATTGAACAGCGGTGCTCCTCAGCCTGCGGCAGGGAACAGCGCTGCTCCTCAGCGTGCTGCATTGACTATTAATCAGCTCCTCGTGCCTGCGTACAGGTCTTACGGGTCCGCGCCCATACTAGTACTACTACTACTACTACTACTACTACTACTACTACTACTACTACTACTACTACTACTACTACTACTACTACTACTCCTACTACTACTACTACTACTACGACTACTACTACTACTACTACTACTACTACGACATCGCACTAAATCTATTCATGGGAGTGCCTGTTTTGGAGCTACATTCATTGATGCAAGTGTGTCGTTCGAGGCTCAACCCGTTGATAGCAGTGTCTCGTTTGGAATCGCATCCGTTGATAGCAGTGTCTTGTTTAGACCTCGATGCATTTATACAGAGATCTCATTTGGATATACCGTTATCGAAAGCAGTGTTTCTACTGCTACTACCACTGTTCCCATCACTCCTACTCGTTCACTCCACACACTACAACTACTGCTTCACTGACACACTACTACCATCACTACTGCTTCTGCTGCTGCTACTACTACTGTTACTATTACTACTGCTGCTGCTGTTGCTGCTGCTTGTGTAGCTATTGCTATTGCAACTACTGGCAGTGCCACTGCGACTGCCGCTGATGTTGCCACTGCGACTGCCACTGCGAATCCGAATGCGACTGCGAGAACACCAGAATTCTACCACTGCGCTCTTACATGAATACCACAGGCAATGTTTCCAGCTATGCTTCTACACATCGCTGTTAGGTTGCTTCGCCAGAATATTTTTTTATAAGGTTTCGGCGACCCGGGGCCAACAGGGCCCCAAGAGGCCGCAGGGAGGCCCTACGAGGCCGCAGGGAGGCCCCACGAGGCCGCAGCGATGGCTCCAGACGCCTCTCAAGCCGACTCCCATGACGCCAAAAAGGCCCCCGAAGGCCCCGAAGACGCCCCAAGAGGCACCCCGAAAGAGCCACAATAAACAACAATCGTCGATTTCCTATTGGAAAGCTGATATGTTTGGCGTGTTCGCCTTTTGGGTTTCCACTGCGTCCAAGATGGCCCACGAGGCCCCCAAGACTGCCCCACAGGCTCCCAAGAGGGCTCCAAGACGGCCCACGAGGGCCCCAAGACGGCCCAAGAGGCCCCCAAAACAGCCCGAGAGAGCCCCAGGACGAGCCCCAGAGGGGTCCCAGAGGTGCACAACCATCTCCAAATTCCGAGTTCTCGGCCCCAGAAGCTCCCAGGAGGCCCTGAGAGGCCCCCAGGAGGCCCCCAGAGGCCCCCCAGAGGCCCCAAAAGGCTCTTCCCCCAGGAGGCTCCCAAGAGGCGCCCCAATAGAGCCCCAAATAAGCAAACATCGTCGATTTCCTATGGGAGAACTGATATGTTTGGCGTGTTCGCTTTTTGGGTTTCCACTGCGTCCAAGACGGCCCAAAAGGCACCCAAGACGGTCGCCCACAAGAGGGCTCCAAGACGGCCCGCGAGGGGGCCAAGACGGCCCACGAGACGCCTAAACCGCTCAACGACGCCCCAAGTCGGCGCCCAAGGCGGGGACGAGAAACCGAAAATGCGAGCCCAAGAGGCCCAAGAGGCCCCCCAGGAGACCCCAAGAGGCTCCAAGAAACGCCCAAGAAGCTCCAAGAGGCCCCAAGAGACCCGCACAAACACAAAACGCGTCCCCGAACACGCCCCAAGGGGCACCACAATAGAGCCATGAGGTCGCTTCGAGGCCCGCTGAGACCGCGCGCCCCGAATCGCCCTCATGGCTGTTAAAGCGACATTGAACCGACGCGGCTGCGGGCCCTTCCCCCCGTCCTCCTCCCCCTGCGGGCGGCCCTCCCTCCTCGCCCGCCTCCTCTCCCTCGCCCGCCCACTGTCCGACCAGTGCCCTGGCCTTCCCTCCTGCAGATCCTCCTGGCTGGCCCCGTGGCCGCGCCGCAAGGATGCGAGTGCCTCGGGGGCCCACGGGGTGCAGTGTTACCCAGGTGCGAAACTTGGAGGACGCAAAGCCAGATTGCAGGATGCAAAGGGCACCCCGGGGAGGGTTACTCATCCTTACTCTGCGCGATCCGCCCCGAGCTGTCCACGCACGCTACCAATTCGCTGCCAGCCGTTGCCCACGCTGAAAAATTGCGACCGCCACCGTGATGTCACGGGGGCGACGCCGTCAGCACGCGGATCTTGCACACCCTGCCGCGGCCTCCGCTCAGAAGCTCCGATGCCCCAGCGTACTCTCAAGTAGCCCCTGCTTGCACGCAGTACGGCACCCCTGAGCGCGACGCTGTCGTCGCCACAATCGCCCAAGGGCGTGCTAAGCTCCCCCTCGGTGCTGTTGCAGCTCAATGCTTCCCCGTCTTCGTCTTCTTCTTCTGCGCTGAATCCGAGAACGAGTCGGAGGCCGAGTCCTCGGACGAGTCGCCGTCGGCCTTCTTGATCTCCTTCGTGGCATTCCTCTTCTTCGACGGCTTCTCCTTGTCGTCATTATTGTTATCCTTCTTGTCGTCCTGCTTCCTTTCCTGTCCTCCTTGTGGTCGTCCTTCCTCACCTCCTTCGCGTCTTCCCTGGTCACCTTCAACTGCGCGGAGCGTGAGAGCAAAGCCTCACTAGTGAATGCCATGGCATTGCATCCGAGCGTGGTCTCGACAGCCCGCTCCACGAGAAACGGGGTCAAGTGCTTCCTGTGGTGTTCGTCGCAGCGCAAGGCCAAGACGCTGAAGCCCATCTCGACGCAACCGTGAATGCCCGCTCCGGACGCAGGCGTGCCGAAGTACACCTACGGAGGCCTCCCCGCCTCGTGGCGCAATTCCTTGAGGAGCTCGATGTCGCCCTCGGTTGCCTCGCCGAAGCGACGGGCAGGTACAAAGCTGCTACTTCCGAGGCCACGGCCTCCACGCCGGTGGCCTAATGGGCACGTGCGGGCTCCCGCGAGGAGCGCGCACGACTCTGGCGCTTCGCTTCGCTTCGCAGGCCGCGTCGCCGCTCTGGTCAGCGCCGCACTCGACGTCCCGTGGGTCCAGAAGGGCGCGCCGCGGGCGGCAGCGCCGCGTGCTTCTCCGGTGGCAGACCGCCCCCGCTGTGTCTCACGCCGCCAGGCGCCGGTCCGAGTGCCGAGCAGGCTTGGGGCGAGCACTTTTGTCTACTCTGACGAGGCGTCGTTTTTGTTGCATGTTTTCGAGCTTGTCTTTTGGTTGTGTATGTCAGTGGTTTTGTTGAATTTTGTTTTTTCATATTGTGATAGTTTGGTTGCCTCTCTCTCTCTCTTTCTCTGTCTCTCTCTCTCGTTCTCTCCCTCCCAATCCCCTCGTCCTCGCCCTCCGCCCTTCCCTCTGTCCCCTCGCCTCTCGCCCCTCCCGCTCACCCCCCTCCTCTCCTTTACTCCCCCTCTCTCCTTTCCTTACCATCCCTCTTTGCCTCACTTTGTCTCCCTCCATCTCCCTCTCTTCGAGACCCGCCCTCAGTGGAACCTGGACGAGCGGTGCGAGCGGTCGCTGCGCAGTTTGAGCCCGCGGCAGCAGCACGAGATCATGGCGAATTTCGCCCCGTCGGAGAACTCCAAGGAGCGAGAGGGCTGCTGACGATGATGCTCATGATGATGATGCTGCTGCTGATGATGATGAAGATGATGATGATGCTGATGATGATGAAGATGATGATGCTGATGCTGCTGCTGCTGATGATGATGATGATGGTGATGCTTCTGACGAGGAGGCGGGGATTATGATGATAATGATGGTGGTGGTGATCATGATGCTGCTGATGTACTAGCGATAGTGATGATGACGATGACGTTGACGATGGTGATGGCAATTATCATGATGGTGATGATTGTGACGATACTGATATTGATGGAGGTGATGCTTCGGCTTATGATAATGATAATGATGATGCAAATGATTATGATGATGATGACGACCACGATGATGACGGCCATGACTTCTGACAGGGAACATGGATGATGATCATGATGAGGATGATGCTGATCATGATGACGATGGTGATGATGCTGATGATGATGGCAATGGTACTGATGATGATGATGCTGATGATGATGATGATGATGATGATGATGATGCTGATGCTGACGATGACCACTTATCATGATGATGGTGATGCTGATGACAAGGATGATGGTGTTGATGGCGATGAGGATGATAACGATGTTGATACTGATGATGGTGCGACTGATGATAATGAGATGACGATGGTGTGATGACAATGATGAGGATGCGGACGCTGATTACGATGATGCTGACGATGTTTATACTTATGATGATGATGCTGACGATGATGCTGTTGCTGATGATGCTGCTGATGATGATGCTGATGATGGCGGAGGTGTTGATGATGGTGATGATGATGACTATTCTGATCATGCGGATACTGATGATGGTGATTGGCTAATGACGATGCTGGTGGTGGCGATGGCGTGGAATGCTGATGATGATGATGACGATGGGTCTGGCGATGATGATGTTGCTGCTGCTGCTGATGATAATGATGATGATGCTGACGCTGTTCATGATGATGATGCTGGTGATGATGCTGGTGATGATACTGTTGATGCTGATGATGATGCTGATGCTGATGCTGATGCTGGTGCTGCTGCAGCTGCTGATGCTGATGATGTGCTGATGATGATGGTGATGCTGATGCTGTTGGTGCTGATGATGACGATAATGGCGACGACGATGATGATGCTGATTATGATGCTGATGATGATGATGACGCTGCTGCTGATGCTGATGATGATGCTGATGCTGACGATGATGGTGATGATTATGATGCTCATGATGATGCGGATGCTGTTGGGGGTGATGATGATGATGCTGATGACGATGATGTTGACGGTCATGATGCGGATGACGACGATGTCGATGATGGTGATGCTATTGTTGCGGCTACTGCTGTCGATGATAGTGATGCTGATGGTGTTGTTGATGATGCTGATGATGATGCTGTTGCTGATGATGATGATGATGCTGATGATGATGATGATGATGATGATGATGATGATGATGATGATGATGCGAGGATGAAGGATATACGGAGACGCGGATGAGACGGAAGAGATTGGGTGGAGGAAGAGAATGAGGCCGAGGAGGACGAGGTGGTTGTGGAAGAGGAGGAGGGGCAGGAGTAGGAGGAAGAGACAGGGAGGGATTGAGAGTGGGAGGGACTGAGGTGAAAGTGGACATGAAGGACGATGGAAGCGAACGGGGATAGACGCAGATAGTGCTGACCATGATAATTGTGATGGCGGTGGAGGTGATGCCGATGGTGGTGATGTTGATGATGCTGACGCTGTCGCTGAGACTGATGACGACGACGACGGTGACGACTACGGCTATTACTGCTACGAGCTAGTATTTATATTACTGCTAATGCCACGACTACTGCTCCTATTGCTGCTACTGCTACTGCTACTGCTACTACTGCTACTCCTACTGCTACTACTGCTATTTTTACTATTGCTACTACCGCCACTACTGCTAATACTATTGCTGTTGCTACTACTGCCGCCACTACGACTACTAGTACAACTACGGCTACTACAACTACAGCTGGTACTACTACTACTACTACTACTGCTACTACTACTACTGCTACTACTACTACTACTACTACTACTGCTACAGCGACTTTACTATTACTGCCGCTACTACTACTGCTACTACTGATGCTACTACTGCTGCTGCTACTACTGCTAGGGCTACTAAGGCTACGACCTGTACTGCGATTACTGCAACTACGACGACGTCGACGACGACCACTACTGCTTCTACTATCACTACTACTACTATTACTACTACTACTACTACTACTACTACTACTACTACTACTACTACTACTACTACTACTACTAATACGACTACTGCTACTACTACTACTACTACTACTACTACTACTACTGCGACGACTACTTCTTCTACTACTACGACTACTACTGCTACTACTTCAACTACTACTACTACTACTACTACTACTACTACTACTACTACTACTACTACTACTACTACTACTACTACTACGGTTACTAGGACTACTAGGGTTACAACTGCCACCACTGGTATTATTACGACTGCAGCTATTACTACTACTACTGCTTCGATTGCTACCACTACTATGGCTACTTCTATGGCTTCTAGTGCTGCCGCTGCTACTGCTACTATTCCGTGTGCTTCTTCTTCATCCACTACTACTACTTCTACGACGACTAGTACTACTACGACCACGAGGGCTACTACTATCTAGTCGGTTTGTATGATTTCAAGGTTACTACTACCACTAGTACTAGTACTAGTAGTAACAGTAGTAGTAGTCGTAGTAGTCGTAGTAGTAGTAGTAGTAGTAATAATAGTAGTAGTAGTAGTAGTAGTAGTAGTGGTAGTAGTAGTAGTAGTAGTAGTAGTAGTAGTAGTAGTGGTACTACTACTGCTACTGCTACAACTGCTGCTGCTGCTGCTGCTGCTGCTACGGCTACTGCTGCTGCTGCTGCTACCTCCTACTACTACGACTGTGGCTACGACGGTTAGTACTACTACTGCTGCTACTACTACCACTGCTAGTACTAGTAGTAGCACTAGTACTACTGCTGCTGCTGCTTCTGCTGCTGCTGCTGCTACTGCTGCTGCTACGGCTACTGCTGCTGCTACCACTACTACTACGACTATGACTACGACGGCTACTGCTACTACTACTACTACTACTGCTACTGCTACTGCTACTGCTACTACGCCTTCTACTGCTACTCGTATCATCGCTACTACTATTACGGCGGCGGCGACGACGACGACTACCTTTACTACCGCTACTCCTGCTGCTACTACTACTACTACTCCTACTACAACGACTACTGCCACAACTACTATTACTACTATTACTGCTACCACTACTAGTATTACTTCTACTACTACTACTACTACTACTACAACTAGCTCAACTACTAGTACTACTGGTACTAGTACTAGTACTAGTACTACTATTACCACAACTGCTGCTACTACTACTACTGCTGCGACGACTACAACTACTACTACTACTACTACTACTACTACTACTACTACTACTACTACTACTACTACTACTACTACTGCTACTGCTACTGCTACTAGTGCTGCAGCTGCTGTTGCTGTCGTTGTTGTTGTAGCCGTTCTGGCCCAGTTGTTTTGGGCTTGCTGCAGCTGTCTTCAGAGCGGCGTCGCTACAGCGAGCTAACTTGGCTTGTTCGATCACCCGCTCCTGCGGGAGCAGCCCCAAGACGAAAACTCCGTCTCTGCGGTGGCGTCAGAGCCGCCGACGCCCGCGGTGCTCCGTGGGCCGCGGCGGCCACCATGGCCATGCGGCAGGTGCGCAGCCCCATCGAACTGGACGTCGCGCATTCGTCGTGAATGCGGGACCGAGGCTCCGCTTCGGATCAGGAAGGCGGCCTGGGAGGCTCACAACCGGGCTGTCGCAGGGCGCGGGGCTGCGACAGGTAAGGGACAGCAGCCCAAGTCCAAGAATGGGCATGACGACGCGAGTGCTCGACTGGCGGAGATGGAGAAGCTCATTCGGTTGCATTTTTGGGAAGGCAGGAGGTGACTCCGCGCTGCAGCCCACCAGTGCAGCCTCCAAGACTCCGCCCTGGGCTGCCTCCTCGTCGGCCAAGGATGCTGCTCGTGGTGCCAACTTGGAGCCGATCGGGGAGCATGACGATGGCGAGATCAAACGCGAGGTGCTGGCGTCCCAGCTTCTGCAGTACGAGACTGCGCTCAAGACTCTTCCAGGTGGCGACGACGACCCGGTTCGTGCGGCCGCACTGGAGAAGGTCAGGGGCACTCGGGACCTGCAGCGTGCCTCCCGCGCGCCAGCGATTGCGCATCCGAGGGCGGCTCAGGACCTCCACACGGCGCGGATCGCTCGCGACAAGATGGAGAACGAGATCGCCGAGAAGTCGAATCAGGTCGCCAAGCTGCAGGAAGCGCTCGTGGAGCGCAGGGCGCAGCTGGAGGCCAAGAAGAACGATATCGATACACTGGAGGCCGAATACAACCGCGCGGCGGTCCTCGTCGCGGAGGGCGCCGGGGCGGGTGCTGAGGCTAAGACCGCTGAGGCTAAGTTCGAGGTGGAGCCCACAGACGTCGAGGATCCTGTGCTCAAGGAGTTCCTGGCGACAGACGCCTGGGCGAAGCTGCAGGATGTCATCGTGGTCGAGCTCAGGATGCAGAAGAATGCTGCAGGGGCTGGTGCTTATGTTGCTGATATGCATGTATCAGCCTCTGGGGGCGAGGGCAAGTCCGACCCAGTCAGGAGGTCCTTCGATGACTTCAGCAAGGAGGAGGCTAAGCTGCTCTTTCTTCGACAGTCGAAGGGATTTCGCCGAGTTCATTGGCCAGCTCAGGGAGCTGGGCAAGAAGCAGCGTCGTTCCTGATGGGTGGGGCTTCTGCTGGCAACGCAGCGCGGTCGAGGCTGAGTGGTTTTGCAGTGCCTGCGAGCAGTCCGGAGGTTCAGTTCGGATGCCCAGCGCTGGAGCTTGAGTGACATGACTGGTGGCGAGGTGCTGGATGATGTGGCAGT